CCATCATTCCCATAGTTTAGAGTCCTTAAGGTAATGCAGGATTGAAATCATGATTAGTAAGGATGGTCTTTTGGGGGCCTCATTTCATAATGCTGAGCCTTCGGGATCTAACACGCTGAGCCGGGTATCTTGAAAGATCGTCATAGAACCCTTTACTGTAATGTATAATTAGAATAGGGTTTTGGAGGTTCCATAAGTATAGTATGATATATTATATAGTATGATATACCCCCAAACCCTATAGTATGATATATATATACATATATATTATACGGTATGATATACCCCCCAAACCCTATTCGAATTATCAAGGCCCCTATATTACTCCCTGCAAAAATCAGCAAAGACGTACTTCTGGGAGCTCCCTAAGAGCCTTTTGGCATAAACGCAGTGGTTGAAAGACGCAAGAGAACACACTAAATCCTAAACCCTGGACCCTATACCCTATAAACTCTGTGCCATACGGTTTATGACATAAATCCTGCATTACTCATACTAAGGAACATACCATAATTCACATAGTTTAGGCTCCTTAAAGTAATGCAGGATTTATGTCATCAACAGTATGTACCCGAAACCCACAGAAACACCCGATGCCTGCAGCCTTTCCGCACTGGTTCAGGAAGGAAGTGAAGTACCTCATCTAAGTGTTCCTTTAAGGGTTCCTTTCAGGGCTCATTTTAGGGCTCCTTGAAAGGGCTCCTGTTTGGGGCTCCTTAACAGGTACCACCAGGGATCTGCAAGTTTAAAGGTCTAGGGTCCAGGGTTTAGGGGCCCTTTACACAAATTCTAGAAAGTTGGAACTTGGGTTTAAGATGATTAGTGCTGGGATTCCACATACTTCATACTAAGGGCATGGGGACCATGCCCTAAACCCGAAACCCTAGACACTGAACTTTCCAGCTGATTTCTTGAAGGGCTCCTTTAAGAGTACCCCTTAATTCTACCCTGCCCACCACGCCCGTCGGATCCCAATTACCCATAAATTTTGGGGGGGGCGGGTTTAGGGTTTAGGGTGATGGGGCAGAAACTCCGTTTAGCATTTAGCTTTTTAGATGTTTTTAGGGTAGTACAAGGGAGAAAACTTGATCATGGATACCCTAAACCCTGCCAGCCGCCGTGACAGAAAACCCCATAGAAACCTTGTCGGAACCACTAAAGTATAAATTGGAGTGAGGGTTGGTTAGTACCCCCTCCCCTAGCCACCTCCACAGTAGAATATAGGGCTTCCGTTGCTGCCCCTGCGGGGAAAAAATAGATGGCATGCCCACTTGAGTGCACCATCAGCCAGCCGTGAGCTCATCAAGGCCATTCAATGTGCAGTGTGAGCAGCTGAGTAGAACCGCTGGCCCCAGGTGCGGCAAGTGAAGGCATGCCTGTTCTCCGCTCTCAGGCTCTGGTTTGCTGCCCTTCTGTGGCTTGCTGGCCCAACTGGGCCACCGTCCGCAAATACTGATAGCTGCCAGCGGCTTGGGCTTCTTCCCCTATGGTCTTCCGCATCTCTTGCCTGTGGAGAGACTCAGCTTCTTTCCTTGAGGGCCCTTTGTTGGCCCTGCCAACCCTCCCACCGACACTGGTGCCGGCGATCGAACTCCAGACCGCCAACAGATGCTTCCGCTTTCTTCGACATAATGTTTACCCAGAAAATCCAAGTACCTAATATACACTCTCCCAAGTATCAACCTAGATAACTGTTATCCGCAACCACAGTGCCTTATTATTGGGTCTGTTGGACCCTTAGGGTTACTATCATGGCTTCGGTAAGTGACCCTTTGGGGTACTTACTACGAGGCACTTTTGATTTGAGCAGTTTAGGGTCTACCCCAGGGGTCCTAGCACGGTTGATGATATAAATCCTGCATTACCCGTTATAATCAGGAAAATAATGTAGAAGCCTGAATACTTCGACTAGGGTTTGGGGTATATTCTACTATAAATACAATAAGGAGCCCGCCAAAATAGTATCGGTAATACTTTAAATTTAGGTCTGTGTGCAGACCCTGCATTTGGGGCCTAGGAAATGTGAAGGGTGCAGAAACCAAGACGACCAAATGATCCTTAAAAGTAGGAGCCTTATTCCCATGTACTATGAATCCCTGTATGGTTTATGAACCTTAAACCCTACACCCCTAAGCCCTAAATCCTAAACCCCTAAACCATAAAACCCTTAAGCCCTTTTAAGGTTCATTTCGTCCCTAAGGACGGAACCTGTGATCTCCCGAAAGGGTCCGGAACCTCCAACTCAGAGCCCTTGGGTCTTTTTGGGGGAGTCTCAGAAGTGCTACTTGGAGGATCATGGGACTTAGTAAGTAGGTTATAAGCACCGTAATTGGGGTTATAAGCAATTACAAGTATAGTTACCTTATTTATAACGCTAGTTACCAAGTTTAGGCTGTTGATACATACCCTTACCCTCAAAGGACTCATTTTTTAAGGCTTTTGGGCCCAAAGACCTCATTATAAAAGGCTTTTGGGCTATTTTGATGCCAAGGGCTAGTGTTTAGGGCCCCAAAAGTATTGGAAACCGTAAGTCCGAAACCCTAAACCCCAAAACCGAGCCCTGTAAGTTAGGGCCAGCTAGCATAGGCGGAGGGCAGCAAGAAACATCCCGAACCCAGAGGGGCTCCATCTAGACGACCATTATGGAATTAGGTCCCTAAAGCCATAATACGTATGGTCTTTTGGGACCTACTTCCATAATGGTAGCATATATGGAGCCCCTAAACCCTAAACTAAACCCTAAACCCTAAATCCTAAACCCTATAACTCCACAATGGTAGTCTATATGGAGCCTCTGGGGAACGCTGCACCTGCCCAGTACGGAGCAACCCCAACATGACCCAGACATAAAACTGACCTCGACCTGCTCTGCTGTAGAGTGGTTAGGGTTTAGGGTTTAGGGTGCAGGGTTTACGGTTTAGGGTTTAGGGTGCAGGGTTTAGGCTTTAGGGTTTAGAGTTTAAGGGTTTAGGGTTTAAGGTAAAGTGTTTAGGGTTTAGGGTTTAGGGTTTAAAGTAAAGGGTTTAGGACTTAGGGCTTAAGGTTCAGGGTTTAGGGTCCCTGAACTTACATTGCGGGGGCCCCACAACCCTAAACCCTAAACCGTAAACCTTACAGTCAATGTCGGGCGGCTGCCGTGCGTCGTGCCGATCCCCGGCCAAGCCGTTCGGATTCACGAACCTAATTTAGGGTTTCGGGTTCAGGGTCCATGTGTTTCTCAATCAGGCTAAGCCTGTCATGCCAAAACCTGCGGTCTTGGACATGTGAAATCATTGACAGCCATTGTAAACCATGAAAAACAGTACCCTTCACCTGCACCCTCAGAAACCTACCTGTTTAGGGTTCCTGAATAGGACTTGTTTATGTAAGTCCTTAGAAAGGTATGTTTCTGGGGTTAAGGTAGTTGAAACCGAAGAAACACAGCTCCTTGCGGGCATTAGACAAAGCCCGAATGAACGAACACAGAGTTTTAAACGCCGAGAGCACGCTTTAAACACAAAAAGAAGGGCCATTCTGCACTACAACAAATCTAGACCTATGGAAAAACTCAATCCTTGAACACACACACAAAACAAAAACAACACACTGAGTCACTGAAACCTCATCCCTAAAACCCTAAAACCCTAAACCCTAAACCCTAAAACCCTAAACCATATAAACCCAATTACAAATCCTAAACCTTGAACCCCAAAAATCTGAAACCCTACACCCTAAACTCAAATCGTGCTTGGCTGAGGCATCCCTGAGGGTCCAAGTGCACACTAATCCCCGAGGGTCCATGTACCCAAACAGTATATACATTGGCCCCAAAGGACTTATATAGGGACTACTTTAAGGCCAAAGTATATCTATTTGAGTACATGGACCCTTAGGGAATCATATGCTATCCCAAATATTAACCCAGAAAACTACCATCCGCAACCAAAGTACTTTATTATTGGGTCCCTAAACCCTAAACCCTAAACCCTAAAACCTAAACCCTAAACCCTAAACCCTAAACCCAAAACCCCAAACCCTAAACCCTAAACCCGGCTAAGACATCCTGGGAGCTTCTGCAAGCAGAAGCCATCCTTGGCGGACACGTCCCCCTTCTTGGCGGGCTCTTTGTCCAAGACCTCATTCTGTAGGATTAAGGGGCTTAGGTTGAGGGCTTACGGAGTTGAGGGTTTAGGGGTTTAGGGTTCAGGGTTTGCGGTTTAGCTCTTTGTCCAAGACCTGACAAGGGTTTTGGGGCTTCTATAGGATGAAGGGGCTTAGGTTGAGGGCTTTAGGGGTTTATGGGTTTATGGCTTAGGGTTTGGCGGGCTCTTTGTCCAAGACCTCATTCTGTAGGATTAAGGGGCTTAGGTTGAGGGCTTACGGATTTGAGGGTTTAGGGGTTTAGGGTTCAGGGTTTGCGGCTTAGGGTTTGAAGGGCTCTTTGTCCAAGACCTCACAAAGGTTTTGGGGCTTCTATAGGATTAAGGGGCTTAGGTTTAAGGGCTTGGGGTTTAGGGTTTAGGGTTTAGGGGTTTAGGGGCTTATGGCTTAGAGTTTGGCGGGCTCTTTGTCCAAGACCTCATTCTGTAGGGTTAAGGGGCTTAAGTTTCAGGGTTTAGGGGTTTAGGGCTTAGGGGTTTAGGGTTTGCGGTTTAGGGTTTGAAGGGCTCTTTGTCCAAGACCTCACCAGGGTTTTGGGGCTTCTATAGGATGAAGGGGCTTAGGTTGAGGGCTTTAGGGGTTTATGGGTTTATGGCTTAGGGTTTGCCGGGCTCTTTGTCCAAGACCTCATTCTGTAGGATTAAGGGGCTTAGGTTGAGGGCTTACGGATTTGAGGGTTTAGGGGTTTAGGGTTCAGGGTTGGCGGTTTAGGGTTTGAAGGGCTCTTTGTCCAAGACCTGACAAGGGTTTTGGGCTTCTATAGGATGAAGGGGCTCAGGTTCAGGGCTTTAGGGGTTTAGGGTTTAGGGCTTAGGTTTAAGGGTTTAGGGGTTTAGGGTTTAGGGGTTCAGGGTTTAGGGTTTAGGGTTTATGGCTTAGGGTTTGGAAGGCTCTTTAAAGTCTGTGTCCAAGACCTGATAATTCCATAATGGTAGTATATATGGAGCCTCTGGGAATGCTGGGAAGGATTGCGTCGGCTTCTGCGAGGTTTAGGATTTTGGGTTTAGGGGTTAGGGTTTAGGGGTTTGGGTTTAAGGCCTAAGCCCTAAACCCTAAAGCGGTTTACGGTTTAGGAGGTGAAGGCTGAGGCTTTCTGCACTTGCGGAAGAGTTTGTCACGCCCTAAAACCCAAAACCCTAGTGCCATCACGGCTGATGGTAGAAATCCTGCATGACCCATAGTAAGGTCCTGAAGGTAATGCAGCATGTATATCATCACTAGTATGACAGGTACGAATCGCACCAGGGAGGCGAATAAATGTGGGAGAAGGCAGTGAACTGCTCACTAACCTAGAGGCTCCATGGCATACTACTATTATGGAATTTATAGAGATAAGGGTGTAGGGTATAGGGTTTAGGGAGGCTCCATGTATACTACTCTTATGGAATTTGGCCCTTACAACCATAATAAGGCGGTTTTGGGGGACCTAGCTCCATAATGGTAGTCCGGGTCGTCGATTTGGAGCCTTTGGGTAAGAACAGAATGACGAGCAATGACTTCAGGTAGCTGGTTGAAGCGGTTGAAGTAATGGAGATGGCACAGCTCTGGCAAAGGCTCAGTTGGCTTCTTAATCTCATCAGTGCCAAAGTCGCAGCGGCTTTTCTGTAAAACTCGGAACCGCATCCCTAAACCCGAAACCATAAACAGTTTCTTCCCACGAAAGGTCACGTCTCCTGCGCCTCTTATCACGAACTTTTTCATCGGTCAGTGCGAATGACCGCAGCTTTGAACTCAAGTGTTCGAAAAAATCAGGAATTCACAATAAGTGATGTCTATAGGGTTTAGGATTTAGGGTGTAGGGGGAGTTTCTTATTCAAGCCCCCATAATATAAGGGCAGAGCTGGTTGACGTACGTACAGAATCGTCGAGCAAGCTCTGCTCAAAGCCCTTCAAGACCCTTTTGTAAAATCTGCGTAGCCTGCAACCTAACCCCGAAAGGCCGTATAAACCACATAAACCCTGAAAACACCCTAAACACCCTGAACTTATAAAAGAACCCCTGAATGTACCTATAAGGGTAACTGTTAAAGGGTTCTAGAAGGGCCAACAGATCTAAGGGTCCATGTACCTTTACAGTTTCTGCTTGGTTACATTACTGTATAGACCCTAAGCCCTAAGAGTCAGCTCTTTGACCTAAACCCTGAACCCTGAACCCTCAACCCTATACCCTATAAATACTAAACTATATAAACCCTAAACCTTATCAACCCTAAACCCTAAAGCCTGAACCCTCAAGCCTAAACCCTAAACCGTATAAACCCAAAGCCTTATAAACCCTAAACCTTCTAAACCCTAAACCTTATAAACCCTAAACCTTATAAACCGTAAACCCTAGACCTTATAAGCCCTAAACCCTAAACCGGGGCGCCTGGTAGCGGATGATTTGCTCATGGTCGATGTCAAAGTGCACGCGATCCGGCGGATAGAGACGCGCCCGCAGCATTCCCGTTAGCCTGGTCCCGGGCTCCTTATAAGGGCTCCTTAAAGGGTTTAGGGTTTATGGGTTTAGGGTTTAGGGTATAGGGTTTAGGGTGGTACTTTAGGTGGCTTAGGCTTACAGTCCATGTTTAATCGGGTTTTTAAGGCTTTAGGGATTTTAGGGCTTATAGGGCTTTGGGATTTAAGGTTTTGGGGGTTCAGCCTGCTTACACGAGGGCTCTGCAGACTGAAATTTAAGGCCTTTGGTCCCAAACCCTAAGGGTCCAGAGGACCCAATAATAAGGTACTTGGGTCACGGATAGTAGTTATCTATGTCAACATTTGGGAAAGTACATGATTATTAGGTACTTGGGCCCTTCGGGAAAGAGCCTGGCGGCCTAAAGTTTCGTAAAAGGATCCCAAAGGTAATCCAAGCGAGGAACTATAGTGGAGACTATAGGTACTGTACAAGCTATGTACTTGCTTCCCCGATAAGCCATGGAAATGAGGGGTTAAACTCTCAGATTACCACTAAACCATAAGAACCCTAAACCCTAAACCAGAAAGTCTAAAGCTTGGGTATTGGGGAACTACGCGTATGGCTGTTGGGCATTTTGACTCTCAGGCTTTAGCGTGTCTCTCTCTCTCTCTCTTCACCTTAGGAGGTTTAGGGGTTAGGGTTTGGGGATCCCAAGATCCTTGTAAAGCAGCCAAAACTGAAAACTGAAGAATCCTCTAAGCGTCGTGTGGGTTTGAGACTTGATTCAAAGCATGCCCGTTGTGTCTTTTTGGCTCCTTTCTATAGGACTTAGCATGACAATGTAAGTTTTGGTACTGTCGGAGTCACTTGGGAAGACTCTATTCGTTTTGCTGCGATCGTAGCCTTGACTTTCGTTTAGTTTGGCGCGAGCAGTCCGAGGAGGCAAGTGGAGGGGGTCCGCCAGTCCGGACAGCCGGTCGGACAGCTCTCAATCCACTGCTTGGCCCCGGGTGGCGGTGTGTCTCGAGAGCCACTGACCAACTCGACGCTCTGGTTTGCTTCGATGTGGCCTCGAACCCTAAACCCCTAAACCCCTAAACCCTAAACCCCTAAACCCTAAACCCTAAACCCTATAAACCCTAAACCCCAAACCCCTAAAGCCCTAAACCCCTGAATCCAAACCCCTAAGCCCCTAAACCCTAAACCCCTAAAGCCCTAAACCCCTAAACCCTAAACCCTAAACCCTAAACCCGTAAACCCGTAAACCCCTAAACCCTAAACCCTAAACCCTAAACCCTAAACCCTAAACCCCTAAACCTTGCACAGGGATTTGGCCATTGCCTTGGAGCTCTCGGAGGCCTGCAAACAACTCGCCGGTTCTTTGGCACAGCGGCTCCTTATATAGTGTAACTGGTTTCTTCAGCTTGTCTCTGCGTTCCACGAATGTCTACGCTGATGTGGAGCATCTCTGGGAATAAATCCAGAGGTTCGCCTCTTTGGCGTAGAACTCAATGAGAAACCGCTCCTCCGACGGCTGCAAAATCTGCGATTCACGCGCTCTCTCGAAGGTCGCCACCAGCTCGAGCAGCACCGCGCGGTCCATGTCCAGCATGGCTTTTCTACGGGGCCTCCTACTGTGTCAGGCCTAGAGTGAAGTGTTCCAGCGAATAACGGGTGCGAATAAGGGGACATGAAGTGAAAGTCTCAACTGGTCCCCTATCTCGCTTCTTTCGATCCTGACTCTAAGGCCTAAGGCCCGTATCCCCACTTAGTGGAGGGTCGGGCGACTTTGTGAGTAGATAATAAACCGAGTTATGTGTCCTAAGCGGGATCCTAATTTGGGTTGTGGAACTTCTACCAAATGACTACTTACTAAGTCCCCCGACCCTGCAACTGAACCCGAGACCCTAAAACCGAAACCGTAAACCCGAAACCGCAGAAACCCTAAACCCTAAACCCGAAACCCAAAACCCTAGAAACCCTAAAGCCCAAACCCTAAAAGCCCGAAACCCTA